ATTGGTAAATCAGAAAAACGAATTATTGACTTTGTATTCCATTGGCAGTCACAAAACTCTTCGGAACGACATCTTAGATAAATAACAGGTTAACTATTAACCTTTATTTAATGCAGGTTTTGAACCGTATTCTTTGAAGGAGACGATTATATTCAAATCAATCTGTATTGACATATCAATAACATTTTTTTGTCCAAATGCACAGATTGCCACCTTTGATAATAGACGACTCATATTGGAGTTTAAAGTTGCCGGACTGGGAAATGGTAACTTCATAGGCGTAAGACTTCTATTAAAATGACAAAATCCGCGTGTTAGACATGTATTTGTAATGAACTAGAAAGAATATTAAAATTTGACGCTAAATCAAAAATTTCAAACTAATAACAACAATTATTGTAAAAAAGGTATTCTTAATGCGTGATAGATTTTAATTTTTGCTTTAATTTATCTTCGCCATCTGCATAATACCAGTTCCAACTAACACCAATAGATGTCACTAAATTTTTTCTGACAATTTCTACATCGCGATGACGAGATGTCTCACGGCCCGATAGACGTTCCTGAAGCGACGTAGTGAAATCATACTTACCTGGCGTAGGGGATACCGTGATCAATTAGGCGGTTCCCCCAGGGCGAGGCTACTCCATTGCACTGCGGAGTGGTTGACCCTTGCGATTACCCCTAATGCGGGTAACTCGGACGCGTAATTTTTGGTAGTGGGGACTGCGTACGCGCCGTCCCCCACCTTATATAACACAGAATATACGTCTATTAATCAGTTATAGTCAACGGAGGGTTCGGCGAGTATATACAATAATATATATTAACCCACAACACAGACACAGACCACCAAGTTTCTCGCCGGATCTTCTCTGTGGGTCGCGTTTCCGATCCGGTGGTAGATTCTGCGAAGCACGGCTCTTGCTAGGGTTTGTGTTAGCAACGTCATCACGTTTGAGCCCCGTGAGCACACCTACTAATTCGGCGAATCTAAAATAACCCCTCGAGGTTACTAGAATAGGTAGGAAGGAAAAAAAAGCATAATGCCTCGGAATCTTCAATTAGCATAGATACTTAATAAATAATAAGCACCATTTGAGAGTTAGGCCTTGTCCGCACTGCCATATTTCATCGCGCGTTTTTTTTCCTCGTAATTCTGTAACACATATTTTAATCGTATATATCGGAGTAGCCGCGCTGACGGGAAAAAAATGTAATTTGATGGAAATTCAACGCGAGACGGTGCGATTTATTTCCGCGCGAATATTTTGTCCCGCATAAAGTAATCTAAGCACTGCAGAATAAAATTCGCATGTTTCGCTCAGTTTCATGGATCTCAATGCCGCAAGTGGGTGAATTGAATCCCAATGTTCATGACATCTTTTGATACGTCTGTTACGCCGCCTTAGTATAGATAAATTAAAAATTTAGTTCGGTTGTCCATTTTATACGCGTGCGTCTCAACCGAGAACTGAATTAAACTGACAAAAATAATACGAAATTTTATTCGCAGTGCGTATATTATAGGTGTAATTCCGATCGTGGAACTTAATACGCGAGAATAAAAACTTCACAGTGAAATATCAAGGGTTAAGACATTTAATAATTATTGAAGTGAAACTTCTTTAGGCGCATGAGGGTAAAATTTTTACAGATGTAACGTCACGCAGGTATGCAACGGAAGTGTCGAAAAATTTTAATACAGCGCCATCTATGAGATTTTTAAATACTAACGTGCGTATGAAACCTCTTGTAGTGAATTTCAATTTAGGATTATACGTGACGTTAAAATATCGATTCAGAGAGGGCGCTACCTCATACTATAAAAGATGATTTACAATTATTTACTAATGACAAAATTTTACATATACTTAGACATTTACGATAATTGTATTTTAATTTTTGAAGGTTTCACTTCTAACACGTGTGAATTACACACGTGTTTCTTTTTTTTGTTTGTTTGTACAAGCTCTAACTGTTCCTGAACCATGATGAAATTGGTACTGCAAGGAATGTCCTTCATAGTACAATCAAAGAAAGATATGCGACGCGCGAGAAGTTTTCTAATGAATTACCTAATATAGCAACAACCAGTAGACACGTATTCACGTACGATTCAATAATCAAGCAATAACCTCATGTAGTATACAATAATGTGTAGACATCACGCTATAGAAATCAAACCCGCAAAATTTGTAGCGTTAAACAATTACCTACTTGTGATGTTCCGTATTGTGATCCCGAATGAGTAGGTAGCGTCATCGTTCCGGTTTCAATAATGAGACGGTCGCGATAGAATTCAATTTAATCTTAAACCTCATGTCTCAAGGAAGGCAGCGTTGCCATATTTTGTTTTCTTTTTTTTTTTTTTTTATTGCCCTTATAAGCAGACGAGCATACGGCCCACCTGATGGTGAGTGGTTACCGTCGCTCATGGACTTCAGCAATGCCAGGGGCAGAGCCAAGCCGCTGCCTACCGCTTAACACTCTCCATAAGCCTCGTTTGAAGAAGGACATGTCATAGCGCTCAGGAAACACCGTGGAGGGGAGCTCATTCCATAGCCGGATGGTGCGTGGCAAAAAAGATCTCTGGAAGCGCACTGTGGATGACCGCAGTGGCTCCAGGTAGTATGGATGAACTCTACTCCGGTGGCGGGCGGTGCGGTGGTAAAAACGAGATGCCGGTATCATCTCGAATAATTCCATATCGATGCATACGACATTCAGCCACCACTTAACAGACGGCGTGAGTTCGCTCACGTATCTAAACGCTAAACAGAATTTAAAAGAACCAGCCACAGTCGTATTCGTTACGTTATCAATAGTTTTGACATCGAAACCCGATTTTTTTCTAGTTCAAGCGTAAAATAGTTAATTGTTCATCTATTTACATTGTAGAAACGAATTAAAACGGTTCTAACTAACTTATTACAATGGTTTTACTTGAAGAACAAATGATACGTGGTGCTGTCAGCCAGGAATGGCATCCTAACTTTGCCCACGGACGTCCTTAAAGGAGACTAAGAAATTCACCAGAGAATGGACAGCGGTATTCTCCTAGTCTTGTCTACTCTCGTCGGGAAGCAATCGAGGTTTCCAGTTCGATGGATGCTACATCCGTACTGCAAAGCAGTTAAGCCTTGGACCTTGTGTGTGAACGTGGACAGCGCAGCCATTAAGCCAAGAGAACCGCGATCTCATCTGCCAATCAACAGTGAGGGTTTTCAAAAATAGATCCGAATCACATTTTTTTTCCTACCTATTCTAATAGCCTCAAGGGGTTATACTAGATTCACCAAACGAGTAGGTGAGCTCTGACCTGGTCACGTTGCTAACACTGGCCCTAGCAAGAGCAGTGCGTCACAGAATCTACCACCGGATCGGAAACGCGACCCACTAAGTATATCCGGCGAGAAACTCAGTGGGCTGTGTCTGTGGGTTAGTTTACTCGCCGGGCCCTTCGTCGCAAGCGAAGGGCTCGACGAGAACGATGACCGGAGAATCACATTACCAAGGCACATCCACGTCGGTAGACTATCATATACTTCACAGAAGTTGATATATATGTTCACAGGGGTCGTAAGATTACGTGCGGCAGTCTGCTTCAGCCATCTCATCTGTGTCTCGCAAATCGTGGTTTTTAACGAGATTACATTCCACCTATTTCCAAGCCCTTTTTTGGTATTAAAAGATGAGCACGTTCAAGTCATACAGCTCACGAGTTCCTCACAATATTCTACTACAAATTTCGTATCGAACTATCGAAAAATGTATTTAATGTAAAAAATTTTTATAGCATAGATAGGTGGACGAGCTCACAGCCCACCTGGTGTTGAGTGTTTAATGGATCCCATAGAGATCTACGACGTAAATGCACCACCCACCTTGAGATATAAGTTCTAAGGTCTCAAGTATAGTTACAACGGCTGCCCCACCCTTCAAATCGAAACGCATTACTGCTTCACGGCAGAAAACAGGCAGGGTGGTGGTACCTACCCGTACGGACTCACAAGACGTCCTACCACCAGTAATGTATGTATGTAGATAATGACGTGTTTGGCTTGAGGAATTTAAAATAGCAGACAAACATAAGTTTAGTACAAAATTAATTAGTGTACTATTTTTGTTATCTGTAACTATCACATTAAATTTTAATAAATTAACATACCGACTGACAATATAAGAGGTATACAGACGTATCGACTCATCCGCCGGCGCAACATATTGTGTCTGTATATAACGGATGAGTAGCAAGCGGATCAAGGACTGACGGATCAGTATCGATTTGAAAAAAACAAAACACTGTTGTTGGTTACGGTAAAACACGGTAAGTTCTTCTACAGACACTTATTCTATTAAAGCTGTTTTTTAATACGTGTTCTCTTAGTTTCAGACGTATGTATGTTAGTATGTAACGGAATCTTTGAGCATGATTTTGACCCCCTTCAAAACGTCGGATTAACTCGAAATTTAGTATACTTATTAAGGACCGATGACAAATCAATATTTAAAAAAAAAAAAAAACTGAAATTCAATTAAAAAATGAAAAATAAATAATAGTTTAAAAAAAACTAACAAAATACGCTTTTATAGAAAATCCAACTTAAAAACAGAAAATAAATTTTAATAAATTATAATCAAAAATAGTGTAAGAAAAAATGATTTTATTGTTTAAAAAAAGCGTGGGGTGCATGGTATCAGTAGTTATAAATATTTTATGAACAGATATGAGTAGAAGGGTTATTTTGATAATATCCTGAAAAGCATCCCACGTTTTTTTTAAATAAAATCATTTTTTCTTACACTATTTTTAAAATATTTTTTATTTTTTATTTATTTTTCTTATTTGACGAGTACTTACATCAACCTTGCGGCGGTGTAATGTAGAACCAATCATAAATTGTTTTCCCGTTCACAGCTAACAATGGTTTGGCAACCAATAAATCTGGACCAAGCATGCCCGGGATCAACAAATCTAACTGCGTGCAGTTCGTTTGGGTACGTGTACTTGGACCTGCTGGTTCGACTCTTCGGTCAAACCAGCGGGAAGAGGAGACCTCCAGAGACCGAAGAGGAGAGAGAGTTTGACTTCATCGTTGTAGGAGCCGGTTCCGCTGGATGTGTTGTCGCCAATCGACTCAGCGCTATAGGAAACTGGAAAGTAAGAATCGTCGTTTTAAAGGCCCTTTTCTTTTATATTATACTAATGGTCCCCCGGTAGTCGAAATTCGACTATAAATAATTAATTGAAATTATAAGTTTGTACACTATTATGATTCTATTGTCAAAGACTATTACACTTCTTTATTCACAGATTTCGTTAAGACTACACTATAATACAAATATTAATAAAGACAAACAATATTTAATCTATTCTCAATTTGACCACAGTCTAAGAAAAGTTTGACAATAAACAAATAGAATGCTTGCGTGTGTGTGTCAAATACATAGTGGTATACACAAGTGGTATAGTGTGTGTAATGTTTTTTTTAATTGCTTTAATGTATTTTTTACGCATAATTAAAAAAAAAAAAGTTTTGAACTTTTTCTCTATATTCTCCATACCTAAGTGTGGGAAATTTCATACTCCTCCGTCCGCGCAATTTTCGTAAAAAGGGGTACAAAGTTTTTGCTTCACGTATTAATATATAGATAAAACAACCGGTCTACAAAACAGAGAATTAACCGCACACGATAACAATATATAAATATGTAGGTATATAATTAGAACTAGTATTATTAAGGCTTAACCTCGCGTTTATTAGCTTCATTAAATCATTTCCGACCTTTGAAATAGTTTACAGTTTTCGCGGCTATTACGGACGGCCATGTCGTTGTTCCTCAACATTTGAATGTTGTGCTAGTTGTCATCTGGAGGCAGTCTCCTCCCGGTGATGGTCACGGGGCGACCTAAGGGGGTTGAGGCTGCGCCGCACGCTACCGTCACTCTAGCGCGCTGGCACCAGGAGGACGGGACGGCGCGTCGGCGGCTGCGGACTGCGATGCGGTCCGCATTTTCGTCGTCGCTGTCGTCGCCGAACATACTGTGGAAGAGCAACCCGGTCGGCGGTGTATCGCGTTCCGACCCGGCAGGCTGGTTCTGGCCCAGCGGGGTATCCCGGAACACCAGCGGCACCGCCCGGGCGGCCTGGTAGGGCCGCCGTACCGCGGAGACTGACGTCGTTGGTCGTCGACTATCGCCTCGACGACCCGTCGGTCGGGCGTCCTCGGGGTGGCGCCGCGTGTCTGGTTGTAGTGTTGACCGCGGGAACCCCCCTACTCTGACCGGGTTCTGACCCCGGACGGAGATCGGACGTCGGGTGTAAGAGTGCAGGGGAGTCGTTTAGTGGGTGGGCCCTAAAATCCTTGGGCCCGCGATCTGCTCTCAACACCTGCAGATCGTTGAGTCTCACATACCCCGTGTGCCCCCTAGGCGCGGGGACCTCGTAGGAGGTTCGGCCACGGCGCGAAAAAAAAAAAAAGTTGTCAACAAACGATTAAGCCGCAGAAGAAATTATGTCTAACCCTCGCGTAATATAAAGAAAATACCATTAATAAAGAGCTACTAGAATAGACAAATAAGTTACTAATGTTTTGAATAATTATAATTTGTGTAATTACTGGTGGTAGGACGTCTTGTGAGTCCGCGCGGGTACCACCCTACCTGTTTTCTGCCGTGAAGCAGTAATGCGTTTCGGTTTGAAGGGTGGGACAGCCGTTGTAACTATACTTGAGACCTTAGAACTTCGCATTTACGTTGTAGATGTTTATGGGCTCCAGTAACCACTTAACCCCAGGTGGGCTGTGAGCTCGTACACCCATCTATGCAATAAAAACAAAAAAGTACACGCGACGTCACCCAATAATATTTATCTACAGGTACTACTCCTGGAAGCAGGAGACGAACAACCATTGGTGACCACAGTCCCGAGTCTGGCTATATCGCTGCTCCAGTCCAGCGTAGACTGGGCTTACCAGACTGAGCCGAACGGGAAGAGCTGCCTCGCCAGGCCGGGACAGCGCTGTAGCTGGCCGAGGTACGTTGGCAGACCTTTGAATTCGAACTTTTTTTTTATTGCTTAGATGGGTGGACGAGCCCATCTGGTGTTAAGTGGATACTGGAGCCCATAGACATCTACAACGTAAATGCGTCACCCACCTTGAGATATAAGTTCTAAGGTCTCAGTATAGTTGCAACGGCTGCTCTACCCTTCGAACCGAAACGCATTACTGCTTCACGGCAGAAATAGGCAGGGTGGTGGTACCTACCCACGCTGACTCACAAGACGTCCTACCACCAGTAATTAAGCAAATTATAATTTTACGGGTTTGATTTTTATTACACGATGTTATTCCTTCACCGTGGAAATCAATCGTGAACATTTGTTGAGTACGTATTTCATTAGGAAAATTGGTACCCGCCTGGGATTCGAACACCGGTGCATCGCTACATACGAATGCACCGGACGGACGTCTTATCCTTTAGGCCGCGACGACTTAAAAGAGCAAAGCAAGAGGAACAGAGACTGCTGTTAATGTGTTACCCATCCTGACCTGTTAGGCATTGCAACACGACCCTCAGTATCGTGCCCAGATCTACATCTGTATAGTTCAGTTCCGGTGTCCTCCCTGCAGGGTAAAATTGGGACTAATAATTGAGGAGCCGATCTGAGTCCCTGTAGCTAATAGCTACAGTTTGATGTCACGAACTTATCGTTATTTGATCTCTTATTTGCGTAATGACTAGTATTAGAGTGTATTGTAACGGGTAAAGGCCGCGAAACCATCTGAATGGAATGGTGGGATAAGTCGCCGTGGCCTAAAGGATAAGACGGCCGGTGCATTCGTGTTGAAGCGATACACCGGTGTTCGAATCCCGCAGGCGGGTACCAATTTTTCTAGAAATACGTACTTAACAAATGTTCACGATTGACTTCCACGGTGAAGGAATAATATCGTGTAATTAAAATCAAACTTACAAAATTATAATTTGGCCCTACTGTGATTCCGCACGGGTAGGTACCACCACCCCGCCCATTTCTGCTGTGAAGCAGTAATGCGTTTCGGTTTGAAGCCGTCGTAACTATACTGAGATCTTAGAACTTATATCTCAAGGTGGGTGGCGGCATTTACGTTGTAGACGTCTATGGGCTTCGGCAACCACTTAAAACCAGGTGGGCTGTGAGCTCGTCCACACCTCTATGCTATAAAAAAAAGGAAGATACGATCGAGTCTCCCGCCTCAAGCCTTACAGATTACATATAAAGTACACAACATTCTAATATTATCCCCAAAACAGGGGAAATACATTAGTAAAGTTTGTATCGAGATAACCTAATCCTCGATCCTAATCCTAATCATCTAATTAATATTGTTATAAAAGTCTCAAAAACAAGAATTAACATACTTCTGTGGCAATTTTTTACACTTGAAGAATCTGGAGACAACGTTTACGAAGACGATCATACAAAAGCACCTAAAAGTGTCACAATGTCATCTTATAGTACTATTATTATCATCGGAATTTAATAAATAATTTTTTCTATACAATCCAGCGTGGCCTACTCTAAATCTTTCTAGGTCAACTTGTATTTGATATTAACATAACAATAATTCTATATGTATTTATGTAACAAATAATATACGTATCGTCTTTACGTTATTGTTAATGTAAGCGAGACCCTTTTTGATAATTAACGAACTGAAATAATATTGTGATAATTTTGCGAGCCTTCAGTAATGTATCGTACACAGCCTTACGGATCCATCAGAACGTTTTTTTTTATTGCTTAGATGGGTGGACGAGCTCACAGCCCACCTAGTGTTTAGTGGTTAAAGGAGCCCATAGACATCTACAACGTAAATGCGCCACCCACCTTGAGATATAAGTTCTAAGGTTCTAAGGTCTGTCCGAAATCCAGGATGCTGACGTATTTGCCGATAGTTGTGGAATACTTTTTTTCCAAAATAATGTTATTTTTAGCATAATAATAGTACTTAATAATTTTAATGTTTTTTTGTGTTAAAAGAGTAAGACGTTTTAGTGCAAACTGTAAGCCTGACTTTGTATTGAATGGAATAAATAAATAAAGTATAGTTACAACAGCTGCCGCACCCTTCAAACCGAAACGCATTACTGCTTCACGGCAGAAATAGGCGGGGTGTCCAATTAAATTGCATTAGACACCTTCAGCTCTAACACTAGGAGCAGGCTTAGCGACTCTGATAACAAAGGAGGCGCTATTAGCTGTTAGCTAATCCCTTACCTCCACTGAGCCTTTGCTCGCCCATCTGTCCCGGTGAAACTAGAAAGGCGTCCGGGCCAGTAATTCCTAACAAACAAAAGAATGTATCCAAAATCCATTTCCAGAGGCAAAACCATGGGCGGGTCTAGCTCTATAAACTCCTTAGCCTATGTTCGAGGGAACGAGCTGGACTACGACACTTGGGCTGCGAACGGAAACACAGGCTGGAGCTATAAAGAGGTCAGTGTCCTGTAAACTATAGGTGTCCGTGTTGCTTTTTTTTTCATACTTATGCTGGTAGACTTGAGAGGCTATGTCTGCGTAACCGAGCCAGGTGAGCTCAACCTGAGAGAATGCTTAACACTGACCCTAGCAAGAGCAGTGCTTCGCAGAATCTACCACCGGATCGGAATAGATCCGGCGGGAAACTCAGTGGGCTGCGTCTATGCGTTAGCTTGTTCGTCGACGGCTTCGACGAGGACGGCGACCAGTGCTTGAAGAGTCTACCGGAGAATCGACCGACTACCGACATGTTTCGGGCGATGGCGGCTTTGCATTGCCCCGTCGCCGCATCGCCTGGGTCGGATAAATTACGACAGAAGATAGTAAAATATCAACTGATATAGTACATCGGAATAGTGCGCACCCGTACTCACAAATTCTATTCCTTCGTCGCGGCCCTACTCGACGAGGATCGCGTTATAAACTCTACCTGAGACTCTAACGATTTCACAGGTCCTGCCTTACTTCATCAAGTCCGAGAAGAACTTGAACATCGCAGGTCTGAACTGGGAGTACCACGGCGTCGGCGGAGAGCAGTACGTCTCCAGATACCCGTACGTGGACCGACCGTCCATCATGATGACCGAGGCCTTCAACGAGAGGGGCGTCCCCATCGGAGACTTCAACGGCGAGAACCAGCTCAGCACGATGCAGTCGCAGACGTTCTCCTGCGGCGGGCAGCGCGTGTCCACCAACCGCGCCTTCATAGAGCCCGTCCGGGACAGGCGCCACAACCTGCTCGTCAGGACCAACGCTGAAGTCCACAAGATACTGATCAATGAGAACAAGCAAGCGTACGGCGTGGTCTACAAGAGGAACTGCAAATGGCACACGGCCTACGCCAAGAAGGAGGTGATCATCAGCGCCGGCGCCATCAACTCGCCCAAACTACTTATGCTCTCGGGCATAGGACCTAAATACCACTTAGACGAGTTGGGCATAGAAGTGGTCAAAGATTTAGCCGTAGGTGAGAACCTGCACGACCACGTCACCTTCAACGGCATAATCGTGGCCCTGCCGAACGCGACGTCCACTAAAGTGAGCAACGACCAGCTGCTGAAAGAACTGTTTGCTTATAAATTGTCCCGACGCAAGAGAGGTCCGCTGGCGGCTAACGGGCCGACGAACTCCATCGCGTTTATAAGGACGGAGGCCGGGCTGCCGGCGCCCGACGTGCAGTACCAAGTGGACAGCGTCACTTGGCAGGAGTACATCCGGCAGCCGACCCTCTACGAGAGCCTCACGATATTCCCATCCGCCTTCTACAACGCCCTGCTGCCGAGAACGATGAACTTGGTCCCGAAAAGTCGAGGCAAGTTGCTACTGAACCCAAAGGATCCTCGCGGAGCCCCACTACTCTACGCAAACTATTTCGACGACCCCACAGACTTGATTCCGCTAGTTAAGGGAGTCAAGTTCCTCCTGACGTTGGAGAACACGAAGGCGTTCAAACGTCTCGGCGCGTACTTCGTTAAGAAACCGTTGAAAGCTTGCAAGAATTATACTTGGGGCACTGACGACTACATTGTGTGTTTGGCCAGATCTTATACTACGAGCACGTACCATCCGGTGGGAACGTGTAAAATGGGCCCGAAATGGGATAAAAAAGCTGTTGTGGACCCACAATTGAGAGTCTATGGTGTTTCTGGCTTACGTGTCATTGATTCTTCTATAATGCCGTGTGCGCCGCGCGGGAACACCAACGCGCCATCTATTATGATCGGGGAGAGAGGAGTCGCTTTTGTTCTAAACTACTGGTTGAAGAAGTACAGCTAGTCGACAACAGATGTCTCTTTAATAAATTTTGTAAAAATGTTTTTTTGGCGAAATTTAAGTTCAACATTTTTAATCTAATAATAGAGCAAAAAGGAGCAAGCTAATAAAAAAATAATTAAAATAGTTATGTACGGAACAATTAACATAATTGAAAATTAATAGAATTGTTTTTTTTTGTTTTTATTACAATTTACAATGCATAAAGTAAATTCTACCTCTAAAGCCGGATTTGATTTATTTTTATTAGTATAGTATCATCCTATGTGGACATACAACAATATTTATTTTTTCATATTAATTGCAATTATTAGTTATTATTAACATAATTATACCCCAAATCCTAATCGGTTTTGTATATCAAATTTTTCGCGGTGCTTAATGCTACCTGAGAGTTTCTTTTTTCTGGCACTAGATGGCTATACACATTATTTTATTTGTTTTTATAGACTGGATGCAATTTTATACATGTAACCTCTATATGATTTATGACATAAACCTTAAAAGAGGTTAATATGTTATAAAGGTGACGTAAATAATAATTTGAATATTGAAATATTAGAAGAAGGAACATTAGAAATATTAAAACATTTTTGAATATTGAAATAAATAAATAAAACATAAAAACTGGTGAAGCTATAGCTTTAAATATTGTTTCTCTTTATATAGAGCAAAAAACTCAGTTTGTACTATAGTTTTACTAGCCTAAAATTTATTTTGATGTGAATAAAATAGTACATTATATACATTTGTGCAGCCAAACAACACCTGTTCATATGGATGGGGTACACAATTATTCCATGATTTCCTTTTCTAGTTGAGAAGGACATTGCTATGGCTGCTCCAGGCTAACTCTGTACTTTATCTACTGAGTAGCTTTTGCCCGCTACTCCGTCCGCGTGGAATAGTTACTTTGGCATAACGCTAAATTTTACATCTACTTCATTTACATAGAAAGTGACAATATTTTTGAATTGTAGAATGTTAAGGAGCTATGTAAACCTCTATTTTGAAACACTATTTATCGGTGCTCCACTTGTATTGGTATTAGAGTGATGTTGTATAGCATATTATAGCCTTCCTCAATAAATGGGTTATCTTTAACACTGAAAGAATTTTTCAAATCGGACCAATAGTTCCTGAGATTAGCGCGTTCAAAGAAACAAACTTCAGCTTTGTAATATTAAGTATAGATAAATACAAGAATTCCAGCAAATACTAAATTTCAATTTCTTATGAACCTTATGCAAGTTTTTTATTAAAATTCCATTATACGATGATCCTACCATAAATTCATTATTTAAATTGTTTATCTAAATTTATTGTCCTGATATTATTGACAGTTCAATATCATGGGTCTTTGTAATATTAAGTATAGATAAATACAAGAATTCCAGCAAATACTAAATTTCAATTTCTTATGAACCTTATGCAAGTTTTTTATTAAAATTCCATTATACGATGATCCTACCATAAATTCATTATTTAAATTGTTTATCTAAATTTATTGTCCTGATATTATTGACAGTTCAATATCATGGGTATCTATCTTGCTTGTGCTTCTTTCTGGAATCTTTTTCTTTTTAACTTAAGATTATATTTAGGGGAAAAAGCGGGAAAAAAAGAAACTTTGTTACAAATAAAATAAAATTTTATTCATGTTTATTATGTTTTAACTTTTACAAACGAAATTGGTATAAAGATATAATAAATACATTTTTCGTTACATTAAACTATCTTATGAAACAATGAAAAAAACACTTTTACATTTTAAGACAGTAGCAGTTTAGCACCTACATTTTACAAATTGCTCTCTATCAATTTTTAAATTATTTTAATTCAAAACAAACCCCAAAACATTGTCAAGCAGACTTAATGCAACTACCAAACAACAGATGGCGTTGTGCCTAAGCCAAAATGGCGACCTACTTGAAAAATAATATCGCAAAATTTTCTTTTCACAATAATATCCTCATGTTTAATTCACTTCTCGGGCAACTTGATGACGGGCATTTGTGAATAGCCCCAGTCTGATTCGCAGTGGTCGATCAACTGTCTCTCGGCTTCAGATAATGTTGATAAATCTATTTCTTGACTGTCTGTGAATGGATCTGTATACGGATAGTGTACCAGCACGCAACTGAAGTCCATGGGAGAGCAGTAACCGAGCATTCTCCTCAGCTTAGTCTCACAATCGACCTGTGTACAAAGAAACGTATTTGTTAGCTTTTTATTTTGATTCCTTTTAACTTAATTCCTTGAATCGTTATAAATTCGATTAATAGGTTCTCGTTAGAGAGTCGGAAATTTTAATGACATTTTTTACTTCCGTTGAAAATTAAATTGTCATATAAAATTAATAATAACTATGTATAATTCGTTTTATGAAGAAGGAAATAAAATGAAACTCACTTTAATAACATGAATATCATTTTCAACGCAAAATGCTTGCAGGAGGACATCTTGCATATGCGTTGCACTATCGCCAGGCGGGGCTTCGGCGGTCAGGCAAAACAATGCACCATTGCAGTTCTTCGATAAGTATTGAATGGCGGGAAGTAAGCCAATTGTTAACCTTTTTTCGACACAGGCTCGCCTTAACACTGTCTTGATACATTGTCCGATAGAGCTGTGGGAAAACAAATACATTAATAAATTATATGTTACCAAAAACTTTAGTCTTGCATGTCAAACGGAAATGCTAACTACCATACTACAAACAAAATATTATTATCAAAAGCATAAGGTACGTCAATTTATAGTCTAATCGGCATGTTTGAAGTTATTAGAACTTTAAAGTTCTTTAATCTAGGTCAAGTGAAATTCTTGTGAAATATTCATTTTAGTTTATGCATTGATTTTTTCCTGTTGTAGCTGTAAAGTATTAAGATATTTATTCACCTTTTAGCTGCTATGACACTGAAGGTCTCGGCTTTTACTGGAACAACTGCTTCCTTGTACATTTTGGATAGACGAATGCTTCTTAACTCTTGAATTTCACTAATTTCCAAACTCCGCAGTGAAATCCGAATGTGAATTTTCACAGAATGCACTAACACTTTACATAAAATCCTTCTATTATGTAAACACACTTAAACTTCTCGCAGTAATTTGAACTTGTGACACAATAATTTCACAACTTTGCTAACGAAACTCGCGTTAGTACACTTTGGATGTTCAATGTAGAATGTGGAGAAGTGACGTAGCGTTCCCTTTTATTGGAAAGGCCGCGCATGCGCACGCTAGTATTTGTATGTGTGCGTATCCTCCGATCAGTTTCGTCGGAGTTTCTTCGAAAAACGCTTGTATTTTCGGTTGTGTGAGTCGTTTTAACTAGTGTAAGTGTATATACGAGACAATAATAATGATACGTGGCACGTGGTACGCGTGTGTGAGTGGTTTTTTCTGAAATGCGAACGCGCGGCTTGTCGCGACTTGTTTAAGGACCAATTTAGTTGGAGCTACCCCGTTCTTCTTTTTTGAAGTAAATGCGGCCAGAAAAGGGTAGGTACTATTAGAACGGTAGGTCAAGGTATTTTTTGTTATCGTTAAGCGCATTGGAGAATATCGGAATTCCCGCTACATTGGGTTTTTATTTCAACAGAGGAAATATGGTTCATTTGAAAACAAAAATTGGGTTTGATTCTGGTTTAGTTGTTTTTTTATTTGTAATGAAACATTCGTTTTCAATAGGTACAAGGACTTTAGTATATTTATTGTAGAGCCATGACGGCAAGATGAGAAAACTTCTAATGGGCATTTCTTCTAGTGTTACGACAGGATAGAATTTATTTGAAGTTATGGGCAGGTAGTGAAAATGTTACTACTATCCTTGTACCTACCTACCCAACTTCAGAAGTCGATGTATTTTAATAGTCTCCACCACAATTCCATTACCTGCATCAGAGCGAGGAGGAAGACATTCATATAAATACGTTAGTTTGAGTATATCATTAGCTACTTATTTTTTTACCTCAAACGTAAATTGAAAAAACCGTGTTTTTTTGGAGTTTTTACTTTCCATAGCACACGAGATGTTAGTGTCGAACGTGAGAGCGACTCTTTCTTATTTTTTTGCTTAGCAGGGTCAATGAACTCGTGGCCCACGTAGTGTTAAGTGGTTACCGGAGCCCATGGACATCAGCAACGTAAATGATTTCTAGTGTATCCAAAGCAGTCAAATTGTATGCAAAAGTGAGTTTGTTTTTCACGTCTGTTAGAAACAAACAAATTCACTTTAACACGTGTTACTCAACCCAATATCAAGAAACACGTTGTTAAGTGCACTAAAAAAGACATATTCATCATTTAACACCAGGAAACAATTACTGCTCTCGATCTATGTAATTTTACTATACTAAAATCTATTATTTATGTGTATAATATTGACGTCAATATTACCATGCACAAGTGACATACTTCAAACGGTTCTATTCCAAGGATCACCGCCGAACAAGTCAAATAGTGTCCTAACAAGCTAACAGGGGCAATGCCATCGGCAAACACAATGATAATAACATGATAATTATCAAGATATTATTAATGATTGTTGTTATCATACTGTTGATCTCGTGAGTAATAGCTGAACGATGTCTGGTTGCCATTATCACAAAGTCAATGTTACTCGCGCGTAGCCATGTTTTCGCGCCAAAACCGTTGAACCGATTTTGACGAAGTTCGACAAGGTTATTTGTCCTCAAGGAGAGAATATTAAGCTTATCGTCCCACAGCTGGGCACGGCTTTCCGTTCAAGCGATACAAAGTGGACTATATAAAAGAAATATATTAAAATTTGCTTAATTTGCTAAAATTAAGAAAAGGTTAAAAATTACTTTAATTAGATATTACGTTTTAGTGTTGATATTTAATTCTGAATTGCAAGTAATGAATATGAAAGCATTTTAGAGTGACAGATAATCTCACCGTTAATCTGATAGGTATTAAGTAATTACAAGATCCCTTTGATGACCGGACCACATGATTTCCACGTTGTTCAAATATCACCTTTGTGCCTATAGATATAAGATACATTCCCTTATTATTTCGCTGACAAACGATGATTGTGTATTTTAGTAAATATTTATTTACTATACCGATATTCAGGAATACGTAACGCATACCAATTTTTTTTTTGAAAAGCGTGCGTGGTAGATAATCTTTGCGTCGCGGCGATACGTTGCGGGTTGAATGCTCAGGCAGGAACCAATTATCCACGATGAGGGAACTCGTATCTTGTAATAAAGTGAAACCCATAAGAGTATTTGTGGTCACTGGTGGTGCGTTGTGAGCCGCGCGGACATGGTCACCGTTCTGTATATTATGTAGACAGCTCATCACTCAAACACCACACGGAAAACAAAGAGCCGCAAAATAGTTAAAAGCCTTACAAAATTCCGACTTATCGCTTGGGGAGTCTCTCCCAAGTAGCCCTGTACGAAGAGGTTAAAAATAAAAACAACAATGACATTGCCTATTCTTAATTGGGATATGATGATCGATAGGACGATAATTTTACGTTTTTTGCAGACTCACAAGAAGTCCTACCACCACTAAGTAAGTAGTACATTAAGCTATATTTGGTGGCAGGACATCTTGTGAGTCCGCGCGGGTGGGTACTACCAGCCTGCCTATTTCTGCCGTAAAGCAGTAATGCGTTTCGGTTTGAAGGGTGGGGCAGCCGTTTTAACTATACTTGAGACCTTAGAACTTATATCTCAAGGTGGGTGGCGCATTTACGTTGTGGATGTCTATGGGCTCCAGTAACCACTTAACACCAGGTGGGCTGTGAACTCGTCCACACATCTAAGCAACAACAAAAAAAGACACCGATCTCGTATTTAATGGCGAGTGGCATTGCGCCCCGATTACCATTTAACACCGGGTGGGCCGTCTGCATATAAGTAAACAAGACGTGTAACCTTAGTATTATTACACCAAAGCCAGTTGTTATTTTGAATGCACTTTTCCGTCCCAGGGCTTTGGGAACTCCCTGTGACTAAGGCCACTAACGCTTCGAGCGCCGCTACATGATCTTCATGACATATTGCGCAACAACATGTGCTTGTCTTGAACATGAGTTCATTGAACTACTTGTGTTTGTTTATTTTACGTTCGCGCCTTTATTTATTGCGTTCAAATTGACGTGTGTCGAGATATGTACAGATTATAGGCAAAGGGTGTTTATGAAGTAAACTTTTATCTTTTTTTTGCGGTCGTTGGTATCCCTGCTTTTTAGCCGATCTTTGTTAAACTCAAAAATTCTCAAATATTTATTGGTCCGTTGACAAGCTCACTGCCTATATGGTGGTTAAGCATCCTAAAGTCATAGACAATGCAACACGAATACCACCTTGACACAATTTAGACAATAAACAGCTACAATATTCCTTTCTTTTGTCGTATCACTCTTGTCAGAGCGGTCGTGGTCGTCATTCAGCATCATTGCTGTTGGCAGATGTTATGCGCCTCACGAGAAATCGCCACTCCTCCCAGTTAGTGGTGAGGCTGGTACACTCATGCAAACACCCGCCAACTGCCGACTTGACTTGGTCGGTCAATCGCAAGGGCAACCTTCCACGCGGTCTGGTGCCTTTTACTTTGCCCTGAACGACAAGGCGCTCTATGTAGTCATTTCCTCGCCGGGAGCCATCTCCAAAAAATTATAGTATGCGCAAAAGCACGAGCGCCGAAAGATGCTTCTTAATGCCGAGTTCTTGAAATGAAGCCCGTTATAGATGCAGTATATAATACTAATGTTTACGGCCTACGGTCATTAAATAAAACGTGTAAATAAGGAAGTTTTGTAAAAATCCCGTTATGTAATTTGGAATGTTGTTATCGGCATATTTTGTTCGTATTTCTGACGAAAACGATTATATATGCATTAAATATTATTTTATTAAACCAACAGTTGTATCACTCGCAACTCGAACGTTTGTCCATGATCGAATGAGGAATGCAGTGGAGTAGGAGAATTAGTTTTTCAGGTTCATACTCCAAGCTTGAGGACATTCGATCCGGTGTGTCTATTGCGCGATGTAACCCGATCTGTTGGAAACATTTGTTTTGAAGCCCTCGCGTTGGAGAGAGACAGAGAGATACAAAGTACGGAAAATACGCACCCGAGATAATTGCTCTATCTAGCTTTACATCAGGGTGCTAATGAACAGAACGTGTCGGACCATCGGTCAAGATTATGGGATCGCTAGTTATTGATTTGAAAGGTTGAGTTCTCCCGACAGGGCGATTTAGGATTTTGTGAAGTTAAACTTCTAATGCGACTTGCATTAAGGTTGCGTTGAACGTTCAACGGTCCTGGGGAGGGGAATAGAAAGAGACAGAACGAGAGTGAATGCGTGGCTCGAACGTATGCGCGTAGTATACAGCTACAGGCCAGCGCGAGCGTTAGCAACGAGTAGCGTCCAGTATTTCAACGCAAGAGGGAGAGAGAAAGAATGATACACAAAGGTAAAATGTAGGAGAGAGAAAGAGAATGAGTCGGTAGATCCCAAACACAAATGCGCGTGGTATTGTTGCTATGCAGCGAAGTAAACAGTGTGAGCGTCGTGAAATTAGCCGAAATACGTATCTTGTTGTTCTATTTTAATTTACGAGTATAATATTCATTATTTCATTTACTTATTTGATTTGATACACATATAATATAATAGGGTAGTATTTTTTATTTTCAAATTTAGTAGATAAGAATTGTAAAAAACGAGCGACAACAATCCCACGGACAATGCGACGGATTTAAGGTTATGTCAAGGTACGTCTCTTGTGAACGATCGACGATCAATTGATTGTTAGGTTTTCTCAATATGAACAATTCGCATACATTATTAATACAAATACATTTTCCAGGGCGAGACGATGAGACAACCCCAAGCACTTCCACTGGTTCAAGAGGTCCACGAGGGAAAAATGCACAATATTACCGTGATTACAGAGCACGGAAGCGAGCGGAGGAGGAAAAAGAGTCGTTGAATAGAACTAGTGATTCTTCTACGACCGCTGATTCTTCTACAATTAACGTCGCAGGATCAGTAGCATCGAAGAAAAGGAAATCAGCCGCGGAATACCAGAGAGAGTACCGAGCACGTAAAAAAGCCAAACGAGACAATATACTCATTGATTCGTTAGCTGTAATTCCATCAACTTCGACGGGGGGATTTACTACCACTCATCAATCAACTATAGTAGACAAACAAACAACTGCTGGGCCTTCTATTAATCCACAAACGAATGCTGGATCTTCTATTAATCCACAAACGACTCCTGTGCCTTCAACGAGTAGTGATATTGGTTTTGCAAAGCCAACAAGGAGGAAAACACCCGCAGAATATCAGCGAGAATATAGAGCAAGGAAAAAAGCTCAACGGGAATCTAAGAGGGCTGCGAAAACCAACGACGGTTCAATGGAGATTGCTGATGAAAATACCAGCGATATTAGTGACGAAAATGCAAGTATAAATCGCCCGGCCTACGTCTGGCTTATTCCAACCAAACGGTTGAGAAATATAAGAAAGAAATTCTAGAAAATCAACCAAATCAGACAATATCCGAGGTTCATCTCAGGTTGTGACAACGAGGAACAACTTGAAAGTGCACGTAGAGCACTTGAAAAGAAAAAAAATACTAGCAGACACCGGTGGATTACTGAAACGTTTGACATTCGTCCTTGAGCATCATAACGACCAACATTGAAGTTGCTGATGGATTAGCCAACGGGGCCATGTGAAAATTGGACAACATCAAAAGAAATGATAACGGAGAAGTTACTCGGGTATGGTTGATATATCCGAATTGTGAAAGATTTGGTATTTTGGATGTCTGCGCGTTCACACATTTTTCATGGTGCCGCAATTCTAAGGAGTATCCCTGCAAACTTCCACGAGTATCGGGATATTTGGGGTAGACATTTTGAGCGATATCCAAATTCTGAGTCATTTGGAGGGCAAAGCCAAGTTGGCGTCCAAAATGCAGGGAGTCCTCAACAGAGCGAAACGGTACTTCACTCCTGGACAAAGACTTGCTTTACAAAGCACAGGCCCGACCTCGCATGGAGTACTGCTCCCACCTCTGGGCCGGGGCTCCCGAATACCAGCTACTTCCATTTGACTCTAAACAGAAGAAAGCCGTTCGGATTGGATCGAAAAGAAAACTAATGGGCTGTGTCTGTGGGTTAATTTACTCACCGACCCCTTCGTCGCAAGCCTTCAACGAGAACGCCGACCGGTGCTTGTGATCTAAAAGCACCGGTAGTAGATCAGGAGGACCTAAAAGACGGGTTTTCGTGTCGCACCGCTTTCTAAAAATCGGGCACTGATGCTGACTGTAGATACTTACTGGAGTCTAACTCCAGGTCGTCATGAAGATCCACGTTCCTCACGAACCACGATGCTCCGATGGCTATCCTGAAAAAACGGGATTGGATAACTTGAAGGTGGTTTTAAAATTAGCGCGGCCCGTATGAGCGAACACTACACTTGCATAGGTCAGGACGTATGCAAGTTTTGTAGAGAGAGCCACCTTGTTAGGAAGGGAAAATTTACTTCAATTCATCGGATAGATGGTGGGAATGCGACCTGTCCAAGAACAATCTTCTCGCGCAACCCTTTATCTGTTTAAGCTCTCAGCAGAATCTGGTCTGTTTGCATTGAACTCTTTCCTCTCGGCCTCTACATTTCCAGTCAAGATCAGTTCTTAAAGAGTTTTCATATTAATTTATTTTGCCTTAAACAATACACTTGAATATATTTGCTTAACAATAACTCGGACAAGATATAATTCTATTTAAATTTTATTTTGTATGCAAATGTTACGACGTAATCATTGTGTTTGAGAATACAGGAAAATACGTCTGAATATTTTTCTGTGTGTGTTGTTTGTTCCTCTCGCCTTTACATTAAAGTCTTATTGAACAGGTCCGTGAATCGTGGTCACATGGTTCGATGTCGGGTCACTGTCAATATCTCTGTTAAAAATATTATTATTTATTTATCATTAATTAATATTACATTAGAAAAACTAAAAACTACGTACAGACAAGAACAGAAGGTAATTGTTACGGTAATTGATGGATTTTTTACATAAGGAACTGAATAATCAAAATACCTTAATCCTGACTTGGAGGTGTCGAATGTGGAGCACCATATAGGTACCATACCAAATCTGGCAATCTCAATCCAGGGGTCTTTACTACCCAAATTGAGCTTTTTTATTTTGACTTTTGCATCGAATGAATGCGAACCATGCGAAGATAGCGGTACATTTGAAACCCGATGCTTATTTTCACTCGTATAAGGTCACTGGCCGCAGGTGACAAGTAAGGAAATGTCTCCTGAGCTTAACTTTAACTCTGAGGAAACAAAACCCTTGCTACGTTCGGTTCAATGTTACTAGACCAGCAAAAACGGGGAAAATAATGGATTTTATTATTTTCACACACAAAGACTCTTCCTTTCGATCCCTTCAATGGTTTGTGGATCAGTATCTAGTCTGAACGATATTTTTTCTGGTATCTCCCTTCATTGATCGTAATCTCCAGTGATGTTGGTGCCATGATTAGTCGGATAAATACAAGCCGAATGAAATGGCCAGAAGTATTGGAGATCACGACCCGCCGGAAGGTTTACATTCTCTGCGATCCAAATGCCCCTCAAAGATCAGGGAAGGTGTCCAGGATCGTGACATCACTATGCGTTTTGTGCAATTGACAATAATACGCTGGATTAAGCCGTAAAAATAACTTTAGTTATGTAATCAGCTCGCGAACATCGAAGAAAATTCGAAAAGTTGAAAGTGTGTCGCGCTTTTTCCTTGAATGTTATCGCCGCATTCATAATTTCATAGGAATTTTATAAGTACGACGTAACGATAAGAATGAAGTGTCCAATGTGGAATCTACTGCCACTACGCGTTGAAAGATAAGGTTCAAAATACACAAACTTGAGATCGGTAGTTATTTCTTTCCTACCTATTCTCTGATTGCCTACTCTTCTAGCCACGCTCTAACTGGTAGGTAATCTTACGGGGTCAAATTGTGAGATTTTGTTAACATTAGCCCCAGCAAGAGCAGTGCTTCGTAGAATTTTCTGCCCGATCGGATTAGCGACCCACTGAAAATGTCCGGCGAGAAACTCAGTGGGCTGTGCCTATGGGGCGGTAGTTAATAACATATTTGACCACATAAAATTGAAGGTATCCTTTATGATAGTTGTAATGTTATTGCAACCAGGAATTTTATGTTTGAAACTCCGTAAATACGCCTTTAATATCCCTAAATAAATATAAATTAATTGTGAGTCAAATATTAAGTGTATTGTCAAGAGGCCTGCCCTCTTCATTAGTTTGAAGTAAACAATGATACAAATATGTTTTTTTTTTATTCCCTTTGTAGGCAGACGAACATACGGCCCACCTGATGATGAGTGGTTACCGTCAGCAATGTCAGGGGCAGAACCAAGCCGCTACCTAAGGTTAAGCACTCTCCACAAGCCTCGTTTTAAGAAGAATGTCTCAGAGCGCTCGGGAAACACCGTGGAGGGGAGCTGATTTCAAAGCCGGATCGTACGTGGCAAAAAATATCTCTGGAAACGCATTGTGAATGAATACAGAAGCTCCAGGTAGTATGGATGAACTCTACTCCGGTGGCGGGCGATCCGATGATAAAAACGAGATGATGGTATCAACTCAAACAATTCCTCAGGGCACTCCTCATGGAACATACGGTTCAAAATACAGACCCAGGGGACCCAACTCACTCGGAGACTCGACCCAGAGAGTTCTTCACTTCAAACACAAGTTTTGATCGCCTCTCCTGCACCACGATCCTAAAAATGGTTCTTATGGTCGATAAATCGCGCGTTCCCCGTGCTGTAATTCGCAAAGTAGTGTGGGCCATCTATAGATGGGCATGTCATTGATATACAGGATGAAAAACGTGTAACGTGTAACGTTCATAATACTTATTTCATTTTGTTTTGGGAGAGTGGGATTGGGAGAGGTAGGACGTTCGATGTGAAATAAAGCCAATACCTGAATAAAGCGCGGAACATAGTGTGTGCTCGACCCCGGTTCGCGTGAGAGGCTGCCGCAGGGTATGGAAGGGCCCTCTGTCCACCCTGCCTGTCTCCGACTCTGGCACGACGATCGCACGACCGGATTATACACCGGTTAGCGGGACAGTTTCCCGGGGCGGAGCTTAGTAGTGACACCCGTGTTCAGGTCCCCTACTGACCGGCGGGCGGCGGCAAATACCGTTTCAGAATTATGAGAGTTTATTTTTTATTATTTTGTGTCTAAAGGAAATCACTCCACTTCGATAAAGCGGCACGACACGAGAACCCTCTCATCGTGGCCGCCGGTAACTACATTCCCGATCCTGCGGACAGAATGGAAAGCAGTCGACGTCGCCCAAAACACGTCATCTCGGATCCTCCCGATCCACTAACGGTGCTTTTAGGTACTTCAAGCACCGGTCACCGTTCTCGTCAAACCCGTCGCTTGCGACGAAGAGCTCGACGAGTAAATTAACTCTCAGACACAGCCCACTGAGTTTCTCGCCGGATCTTCTCAGTGGATCGCGTTTCCGATCCGGTGGTAGAATTTTCGAAGCACGGCTCTTGCTAGGGTTCGTGTTAGCAACGTCATCAGGTTTGAGCCCCGTGAGCTCACCTACAAACGTTAGGGTTACGCTGAAATAGCCCCTAAGGCTATCAGCTTAGGTAGGAAAAAAAAAAAGGAAATCACCGGACCTTTGCTTACGCGTTGGAGTCGGTATCCGGGGCCCGTCGGAGTTGAGCCGACTATAATCCTCTGTCGCTCAACAACCAGCATCCGAGCTTCGTATGAGACAGAACCCTCACCGCCAAGCTACCGCTACGGGATGCCGAAGTGGCTGGTGCCTCGACCATTGGGTGTCTCTGTCGACTTCCTATCTTAAGCCCGTCTAGACGGCGCCGCTAACTCGTACCTAAATATACCTACACACTACGATCATCAAGTGATAATTTTTATCTATTTTAGACTAGGTACGTGCGTACTTTGAAAACGAATTCTGCGGAATTCTATTTTTACGCATTGAGATCGTTTAGTAGGTGTGTGGTTTGATAAGATTGTGAGCTGTGACGTTATACTTTTTAAGAATAACAACGCTTTGCACTGCTGCCCCGGATTCACTGTCCACTTTCGTTCGGTTGACTAAGTATTTTTCTTAAATTTTTTACCACAAATAACATCATACAAAATTTAAATAGGATCATTTTTGATCATTATAATTTTGTTTAGGGCGCAGGACTAACGCTACTCTGGGTTCATTCATCACGAAATATTTTCACAGTACGAGGACTTTTGTACCGAAAGGTCCTAGAAGAACTCACGTCCAGAATTGTTTGGCACTTAGCACATAGAGATTGAGCAATGGACAAAATGATTCAATGAAGTTCGAAAGATACAACATTTAAAATCATTAGTGAATTTATTATTGCGGATTTAAGGGGTGATAGTCAATGTTTTGGCTTGAAATTCCAATCGAAATAAAGAGAGTGATAAAAATGAGACCACAAAAATAAAAATGGGA